TAACACAAAAGATAAATGGTGATCACAATATTATTGTACTGCTTCTATATATATAAACCAGGAACTCTTGTAGCTCAGCTGTGAGGTGTTATATAGCATATTTCAACATGAAGTCTATTAATGAGAAAGCTATCTTTAGGAAAATATATGTTGGTTATTTTATGTTTGATGAATAAAACAGATTTTATTATAAGTAACCTGATGTGACTGAACTTATTAAAGTTTAAGGTACATGATGGTTATAGCTATAAAGTCTTTTCCTAGAGAATCACTTTGGAGAAATTTACATGAGAAAATATTAAGACATTCTTTTGTACATCATTTTTTTATTTTATCACAATTACTCATAACTATTTTCTTATTACCTTTTATGCTGACTTTGGGGAAAAAATCAGCTTCCTGGTATAGGGCTTTCCTTCCTTCCCTCCTTAGTCAGACAAAATTCTCACTTAAGAAGTTTGCCTGTGGTAGGGGGTCTACAATGGAGCTCCTAGTATGTTCGTTTAAGTTCTTCCATGACTGAGAATACCAACATTTCTCAATATGAGAGCCTTGTTTATAGTTATAAGTGTAAAAAAAATACATATGCTAAAATAGAACAGGGGGAGAAAGGTCTTTTAGGACATAAGTGCTAATTAACAGGTATGGAAAAGACCCATCAGAACTATACCCTAAATTCTTACTAATATTCTGTTCTTCAAGAGGTACTTTCCAGAAATATATCAAACATTTAGTGCCACCTATAACAAAGGGCTGAGTTAAACATGAATATACTAAAATAGACCTTTTTTTTTTACTTTCAGTATCCTGCCATTCATTTAAATGCATGAAAGAGAGAGGCTGTAGAATATACTCCTGGCTCAGTGTACACATTGGATATTTACCAAGATTTGGATGGTACTGAAATGAGCACTTAACATTTACAGAGAAGACAAGAGACATAGACCATTTACTTTTTTCCTCATAAAAGTATTATATATCGATTTGAAAGAAAATTTATTCAAGGTAAAATCCTTGCTCCTCAAGAAGGGTAAACTACCACAAGAACAAGTCACTCTGACAGCAATCCACAGATATAAGTTAGACTTAGTGATCTAAGAAAGCTGTGAATAGGACAGCTTGCTATCCCTGCTGTAAAAACTTGCCATTTGTGGTAAATCCTGTCCTTTTTGGTGCTTGGCTCTATTAATAAGTTAATATAAAATAAAAGGCATAAACCATAGTCACAATCTTCTCTTCCAGCAGGGCTGTCCTTTTCTTGCACTGTCCTACTCCAAACTTGAGATTCCTGTGATGACAGGGCCAATCTTAGTTCCCTTTTTATACACAAACTTTAATTAAAAAATTATAATGGAGACAATCAAGTGACAGAAATCATTCTGTATCTCTACATTGCCAACATCTGTTGAAAAGGAAAATCTGGGGATCCTCCCACCTGATCTTTACAACAGTCTTCTCAAAACAAACACACAAACAAAAAAAGGAGCTAAAACAAACGAAAAAGCAAAGGCCCAAACTTTTAGAGCAGAAACATGTTTTAGATCTTCGTATATAAATGTGAGCAGGTTAGAAGGCAGGAAAGAAATACCTTATTAACAAGGTAACAACTTTAAGATAATAGAGTTGGTCTAGAAAATGGAAAAGATGAATGGAGCCTCTTGTAGTTTATAGTTTTCCTTTCTCTCAGTGGGGGCAATGCAGGGAATGATGCCAATAATTTGAGCCTCATGAGGCATGGGGTTCACAGCAGTGGCATCATTTTTACATGCACCCAGGACCACAGCACATTGAGCTGGGTAGCGCAGCCTTGGACAGCAGGAGGCCCTCAGCTCAGGGCTGCTCCAACCCAGTTCAGTGAGCTGTGGAGGGGCTGGCTGGGGCACGAGGGTACTACAGTGCAGGGCTAGCCAGCAGGCAACCCCTGTACCGTGGCACCCTTGTGCCCCAGCCAGCCCCATCACTGTCTAGATGTGCATTGCAGTGAAGTAAATAACTCTGCTATAGGATAGTACTTGTGTTGGGCAGTACTATCCTACAGCAGAGCTGATTAGTTTACTCCAGCCTTATAGCGTGTGTAGACAGTGACGCTTTACTGCTGAGGTAGTTAGTAGGGCTGTGAGAAGCTTTGGTCAGTGATTCAATCTGGCGGAGATTCAGTCCAATTGGGAGACCAAATCTCCAAATCTGAATTGAATCAAGAGACCCTTTAATCTCTCTGAATCAAATCAGGACCCTCTGAATCAATTCAGAGAGATTCGATGATTCAGCGATAGACACAGCTTTAAATGTTTTTTCTACATACCTCAAGGTACCAGGCAGCTTGTGAACACTGAGATGCTGGGACAGATGGAGCGTCCCACAGGAGCATGGGGCAGGGTGTCCTCAACACACTTAGTGGTGGACACGGAAGTGGTCCACTTCTGCATCTGCTGCAGAGCGCATGCAGGACCCCCGCCCTCTACCCCCCAGCTCAGTGACCAGAGCCTCTGGGGTCTGAGGGGGGCATCTGGGGTCCTCCCTGTGGCCAATCACAGTCAGGAGGGAGCAGGGAGAGGTCTCCCATGCACTCAGTAGTGAACCCAAAAGTGGACCAGAAGTAATTCTGGTCCACTTCTGGGTTCACCACCAAGCATGCGGGGGGGAGGGGGAGGGGCATGCTCCTGTGGGACACTCCATCTGCCCACCATTGCAGCATTCACAAGTCACACCTGGTACCTCAAGGTATGTAGAAAAAACATTTAAAACTGTGTCTATTGCTGAATAGCTGATTCTCTGAATCAGCATCAAACCTTCAGATTCAGCTGAATCAAATTGGGACAGTGATCTAAATCAATGAATTGAAGCACTGTCCCCTGAATCAGGCCAAATCCAAATTGAATACAGCCTGCTTCACACACCCCTAGGGTTAGGCAGTAAGCATCTTGTGTAGATGCCCCCCTCTGTTTCACTGAACAATTGGGGAAAATCAGAGTTAGGTTGATCTAAAATGAAATATATTTGGTTTTCTCACCTAGTTTAAACAAATGAAGTGTCATTTCTGCTTGAATGAAACACTACATTACTTTCATTTCAAGGTTGTTTGAAATGTTTAATTAAAATAAAAATATGTAATGTTTTAGGCAAAAATAGTTAAATGAAACATTTCTGTGTTTTTTAACTGGCACTACTTACCAAATTTTACTTTCTTTCACAAATATTTTAGCTGATGAAAATCATCCATTTCTGCATCCATTTCTGTTGAAATGCTACTGAACTAGTGGATGAGTTCACTGAAATTAAGGGGCAATTGGCAATAGCAAATCATTGCAGTGCAAGATTAGGCCAGACATACTTCCTCCTCACTCTGGCCTTTCCCCCTCTTCCTCTGGACTTTCGCAGTTGTCACTAGCCTGCCTCTGGGATAGTCTTTCTAGCTAAGGCTTCTATAGGGAAGTGCAGAGCCAAAAAAGCCAGCTCTGTACCTGGTGCAAAAGCTCTCTATATCTACGCTGTTCAATGAGTGGACTTGACATCTGCTGTAGATACTTGCATTGGTGTTCCCAGCACAAAGGGGACTGAGGGCAATGGTCAATGTAGTCTTCCTATATTCATATAAAACTCCTCTCAGTAGCATCTTACTAGACAATACATTTGTTCTTTTTAGGATTTTGCATATAAAACTGGCGAGGCAGATGTATTGGGAATGCTCTTATGATTTGCCAACTGTGATGACTTTTTCATTGACATAACCCATTTTAGGGTCATTGTATAACTTCCTGTGCTTTGAATAATGCACAGGATATCATACTGTTATTAATTTTGCCCCACCTTCTTTTCATATCATCTGCTCTACCTCATTTTAGGAGAATTATTAGGAGGACTGTACATTTAAAAGAGAAAATATTATTTCAACACAGATAAAATATGTACATTTGTGTGGTCTTTTAACTTGTACATATATTACTGAGATGATATGAGGTAAATAAACCCCTGAGGGGAAAAGTCCCAGTGATTCCTTTGATACTTTTTTATATAGTTGATCTGAGAAATAGTTCTGCAAGAACTGGATGAAGATTAAATTAAGCATTCATCTTGAAGAAGACACTGAATTATAGTACCTGTCTTAGTCTCAGTTGTTTTTCTGATGAAGCTGTTCAGCAGAAAGGGTTCTGCAGTATCTAATATACCATGCACACATCATTTTATTGCTTTCTAGCTGGTATAGTTTCTTCAGATTTTGACTGGTAACAGCCCCTTTTTTACTAGTCAAAGTCAGGTTTTGCGGGGCTGGGCTCTCTTATATCTATGGTGGTGTGAATGCAGCTTTCTCCACATGCTCTTTAACACAAGCAAAACAACAATAATTTTAAGATGGCAGATGCATTAGTTTTTGGCACCACATTACCCTAATGAATTGAGGATCATCTCCTATGTATCTCTGTCTCATGCACTTTGTGCTTCCATTGTGTTATAGCCATGCATTGCATGTACAATCTGGCACTTCAGTTACAGGGGAAAAAACAGCAAGTTAACATTGTGTATGCAAAAGTCATGTGTTTACAGTTAAAAAAAATAGAGTTGTCACTGCAAGTGTCCTCAATAAAAACTATTTCCAAGTCAGTTTTCTGGAGATGTTGAAAACAGAAATAAATATTTATTTTCACAATTTTAGCATGTTTTTCACTCTATTTTAAAATACTGCTCAATCTTTTTTGTGCAAAACTTTACAAATACACACATGGATTTGCATGCCCACATATACATGCAACTCTCTTGGGCTGAGACCACACCTACAAAATGAATGTTTTAACAAGTGAAAATTTCAGAAATGTGACCAGAATTATAAGGTATTTCTTGGAAGATTTTTAAGGCATTGTACATTGGACTCTTAATGGGAAAGTAGAAAAGAGAGGGTATTTGGATGCATCTTAATATCTGTATCTTAAAGCTGTGTCTATGACTGACATGGAAGACCAAAGAGAGTCATGTGGAATACAAGGAGATTCAATGCGAATAAGTACCTGTGTATTGTGCTGCAGCAGAAGATACCAGTGCTATGTTAAGGACCACCTGATAAAGTACATTAAAGCAAATATGTTCTGGCAGAGGATACCTGGTATTTTCCAAAGAAAGCAAGTGGTTAATTTTAAAGAAAAGGCAGAAAACAATAGTCAACAAATGAAACATTTATATTATCTAAGCTTTGAATTATGTATTTGAAAATAAGTCAGCAACATTTTCATATTTTCTAGTTCCCTGTTTGATTCCTATCTGCCACAATTGTTAACTGAAATTAGGCTATAGTTATCTCAACCAGAAACTCAAAAAGGTTATGACTTTTTTGTTTCAAAAGTCACAACTTATAGCTAAAGGGCCTATTCTTCTCTCAAAGAGCACATATAACACTAATTAAGGGTAATGGGAATGACATGTTTGTACTGAAGGAAGAATAAAAGCTTACAGTTTCATGAAAATATCTGTTAGTAACAATAACAGTTATTACAGAATAAGGTCCCAATTCAACAAAATTAGTCCAGTGCTAACCACTTGTACAAGTTCTACCTTTAAGGGTGAACTATAAAGGAAAAAGAAAACAAGGATAAGCACAGATTAGAAGCATTCAGCACAGAAATATATTTTAAGTGACAATTTTATAATTTTTTCCCCTTTGGAGAAATTTTCAAGGCATTTCCTAGTTTGTTATAGATATATCATCAACATATCAGTTGGTAGCAGCCCAAATTCAGAAGTTACATTGTGACATATGCTGTCTATTAGAGCTGTGCGAAGCTTCAGTTGGTGATTTGATTTGGAGGAAATTCAGCCCGATTCAGTGGCTGAATCTCCAAATCTGAATCGAATCAGGGGACCAATCTAAAGGTCTGAATCAATTCAAAGCTTCTGAATCTTTGAAAAAGATTCAGAGAGCTTTGATGATTCAGACAGTCCCCAGTGGTCGCAGCAGGGAGCTGCAGCTTACTCCAATCTGGTAAGTACTAGGGGCTGGGGGAAGGGAGAGGTAAAGGGGAC